TACATGAATCTATGCTGGGAAAGGACGCAGTAAATCCGGAGAGTCCTTTTGTAAGTCTCGGGAGGAAGGTAGTGAAGGTGAATGCCAGATATCTCGACTTCTTTTTGAGATTTACACTCACTAATTGTTTGTTTTGGACCTGATGGCCAAGTGAATGGCGCTCGGTGCCACATGACTCGGGTTCGAGTCCCAACGTGATATGGATGTTTGTAGTCGTTCAGAATCCACTTTATGCCGTAGGTCCCGGTCTAATTTAACTGTCGAGAGTTGGACGTGAATCTTACCTCGTAAAAAAAAAACCTCTCCAGTCTCGAAATCTGCCCATAAGCAGACTGCCTTGATTCACCATAGGGCTGTTGCACCATTGTAGGAGAAGAATTGTTTGATTTATCTCAAAGCATCCCATTTCTATTTAATAAAAACACAATAATAAAAATAATCTTGTAACTTCGTAAGTCATAATCAACAGTCAAAGTACATATAAGGGATAAAATACAATCATACCCTTCAACAAAGAAAATGTGAACTTCTCAATAAATTTAGATGTCTCAATAAATTTAGATGATAAATTTAGAATATATGGTAGCCCATACAGTAATAAAGTTGTCATACATGCCATACTGTAGGTATACACTGAAGTGACAAAAGTCATGGGATACCTCTTAATATCGTGTCGGCCCTCCTTTCGCCCGGCGAAGTGCAGCAACTCGACGTGGCATGGACTCAACAAGTCGTTGGAAGTCTTCTGCAGGAATATTGAGCCATGCTGTCTCGATAGACGTCCATAATTGTGAAAGCGTTGACGGTGCAGGATTTTGGGCACGAACAGACCTCTCGATGATGTCCCATAAATGCTCGATGGGATTCATGTCGGGCGATCTAGGTGGCCAGATCATTCGTTGGAATTGTCCAGAATGTTCTTCAAACCAATCGCGAACAGTTGTGGCCCAGTGACATGGCGCATTGTCATCCAATAAAAAATCCCATCGTTGTTTGGGTACATGAAGTCCATGAATGGCTGCAAGTAATCTCAAGTAGCTGAACATAAGCATTTCCAGTCAATGTTCGGTCCAGTCGCACCAGAGGACCAAGTCCATGCCATGAAAAAACAGCCCACACCATTACGGAGCCACCACCAGCTTGAACAGTGCCTTGCTGACAGTTTGGGTCCATGGCTTCGTGGGGTCTGCGCCACACTCGAACCCTACCATCAGCTCTTACCAACTGAAATCGTGACTCATCGGACCAGGCCACGGTTTTCCATTCATCTAGGGACCAACCGATATGCTCACGTGCCCACGACAGTCGCTGCAAGCGATGTCGTTCTGTCAGTAAAGGCACTCGAGTCGGTCTTCTGCTGGAATAGCCCAAGAAAGCCAAATTTCTCCGCACAGTTCTAACAGACAAGTCCCTTGTACGTCCCACATTGATTTCTGCGGTTATTTGACGCAGTGTTGCTTGTCTGTTAGAATTTTACGACTCTTTGCAGACGTCGCCGGTCTCGGTTGTTAAGTGCAGGCGGTCGACCACTGCGCTGTCCATGGTGGGATGTTATGCCTGAAATTTCATACTCTCGGCACACTCTTGACACAGTGGATCTGGGAATGTTGAATTCCCTAACGATTTCCGAAATGGCATGACCCATGCGTCTAGCTCCAACTAACATTCCGTGTTCAAAGTCTGTTAATTCCCGTCGTGCGGTCATCATCACGTCAAAACCTCTTCACATGAATAACTTGAACAGAAATGAAATCTCTGCGAAAGCACTACGCATTTATACCTGTTCTACGCGATGCTACTGCCTCTGAAAATTTGCATATTGCTATCCCATGACTTTTGTCACTTCAGTGTATATAAGTGTATATGTACACAGTATATGTGTTGTATGCATTGTGGCCCGTGGTAAACCTTATAAAACGTTGAATATGCTACATATCATCAATTCTAGCAGATAATTGCCTGCGGGCCTGAATGGCCGAATGTCTAGCGCTCTGGTGCTCAATGTCACAGATGACCGGTTCATGTCCCGGCGTTGCCATGGGTGTTTGCAGTGGTTCGGAATCCACTTTAACCCAAAAGTCCCGATCTAATTTGACTGTAGAGCGTCACGGAGCCCAGTCAGACTTCTCACTTACAGGCAGTTCTCCACTTTTTTTCCCTATAAGTTACGCTAATGCAGTACAGTTACCCTTAAAAGTCCTCCCATAATACCTGTTGGTGGTCTGTTCGTGGTTTATAAGATGACCACAGATATTTCAACTTCACCTTTCCAACTGGTGCAGGCCTGCATAACGCTAAGTACTGGGGTGAAATGGGGAGAAAAGAAAAGAAATACTCCCAAAATACACCCTTGCCGCTATCACCCCTTAATAATTCCACTGACCCCTACGGGCTGTGTCACCTACTTTAGGCCCCATTGATCTAGCACATTTAATAACCACGAACATCCTTTCCATTACGCTACAATGTGAGTGCAATGTAATCATCCCTTTGTAACGCTGAATCAGCTGATTTTATGACAAATGACTTGCATCAAAATGACCAGAGTGTAAAAGCAATAAACTGCAAGCTATTGCAAAAATTTTGCAAAAAAATTAAGAGGCATAGCAAACCATTAAAAAAACCCCAGAGATATAGTTAAAAAATATGTAGAAAGCAGATGCATACTAAAATATTTTTCAGAATTTTCCATGTATTTCTTGTGATACAATTATTTGAATTGAAATTTTTTTTTAAAGTGTGTCTGAGTGTCATACAAACGACAATATGCGTCTCAATATAAACTTGCAATCGAGAATTGCCATAATTCCTCTTAATCTTTGGCAGGATCATTGAAAATTTAAATATAAAAAAAAAATTTACATTAAAAAAAAACATTACATAAAAGTGACTTAGAAATGAGGTTTTACCGTAAACCTGGAATACTTTTTATACGTTAGATGAGTTTAAAAAAATGTGTGTAAACAAATATCACACACAAGAAAAAAAATGCACCTGACTTCGCTGTCAGTTTCAGTTATCTGTCTCTGGCAATAAACACGAAAGCTTTTGTTTCATCGTGTTCAAAACTATCCAAGTTGAAACGAGAATTCAATTCTCAGAATTTTCTTCAATCCCGAATTTTATTACTTAATTATATTATTTTATTTTTATTATTATTATTTTAAATTATATTATTATTATTATTATTATTAATTAATTTTATTTTATTTCATTTAGTGTTTTTTATTATTATTATTTTATTTTATCTTCAAATTTAGGATGATCCAATTCATGCAAAAAAAAAAGGATAGTATTAAAAAAGTGTAGGTGTACTTTGTTGTTGTTATGACTCATCTTTATTGTCCGTCAGCGCGGTACGGATATGTAACTCGTCCTCAGTATCCATGAGTAGTCTACTCATTTTTTTACGGGGTACGATCTACAGTCATATTTGACCGAGACCTGTAGCTTAAAGGGAATTCCGAACCACTACAAACACCCATAGCACCACCGTTACTCGAACCCGAAACTTCTGGCACCTAGCGCCAGAGCAATTATAAATATTATTTGTTTGTTGTTTCTTATCCCATTTGGCTGGCCAAGCCCACGAGCCCATACGTACTCATGATTGAAGGGGAAGGAAGCAGCTTCTGTTGTGATGAAGCACCCGTAGGTAGAAGTCTGACTTTGGCTCCGTGATGCTCTTACAGTCATATGAGACCGGAACTTATGCCTTAAAGTGGATTCCGAACTACTACAAACATCCATGGCACCGTCGGGACTCGAACCAGAAACCTGTGGTACCGAGCTCTACCCACTCGGGCATTCAGGTCCAATGTCTCTCTTACGATGTATTTGTGATTTTCACTGTATTCGCGCTCCACTGTTTGGGAATCCTTGTTGCATTTGATTGATTTATCATATTAATAACTATTATTATTATTATTGTTAATATTACTAGCATTATTTGAAATTCGAAGGAAAAAAAAGATGATTTTCTTACATGTTTACACACAGGTGCTCGGTGTCACAGGTTTCGGGTTCGAATCCCGTCGGGGCCATGGATGTTTGTAGTAATTCGGAATCCACTTTAAACCGTACGTCCCGGTCCAATATGACTGTAGAGCGTCACGGAGCCAAGTCAGACTTATACAAGTGCTCTATAACCCCAGAAACTGACCCCTTTGTATGGGTTCGTGGGCTTGGTCTAGATGTCTACCAGTGTATCTAGATTTCCGGATAGTAAGCAACAACAACTTCATGAATACACCTATGATAATTAAATTTGGAAAACCAGATTTTTTCTAATAAATTTAGAATAATACATTTTTTTAATCGATATAGAATGTATTTCGAAATGTATACATTATACCCAATGTATTTTACATTTTCTTCTTCTTCATTGACGCAACAGCCCCATGTTGTGCCAAGGTCGTCTGGCAACTTACAGATACCCAATATATTCGGGCTGATATATTGAACAAATTGATATATTATGCTACTTACATTAAATTTTTAATACAAGTTTCAAAATGTAGGACCTGAATGGCCGAGTGGCTAGCGCTCTGGAGCTCGGTACCACAGGTTTCGGGTTCGAATCCCGGTGGTGCCATGGATGTTTGTAGTGGTTCGGAATCCACTTTAAACCGTAGGTC